GGGGCGGCGGAGCAAAGGGGGGTGGTTGGCCTCCCGGGAAAAGTCTTGCTGCTCGATCCGCTATGCGATCGTCCAACATCTGTGGAATTACATTGAAAACCTCAGTAACCGTGCGCATTAAGTCTTGCACGGAACGTTCAAGTTTTGTTCGAGGTATTCCAATCGATCCTCCCAGGTCTCCCCCTGTCCCGCACCAGCATCTCAGTCTCGTTCACTCGCCCGTTCGTCCGGCCAGAAATCGTCTTCGATCCGACAAGTTTCTGCCGGGCAGCTCCGTGGCCTTTCGGGATACACTTCTGGCTCAAACAGGCTTTCCCGAAGTCCACTCCCACGATGAGCAAATGTCTCTCTCGTACCCTGAGTATCAAACATAGTCCAATCCTCCGCGGCCCTCGTCTCCCATTTTCCCCATTGCGACGGTGTGGGAGGCGGCCAGGGAAGAGTCTCATGCCTCGGGATCGCTCCCCCGACGGCTCCCTCGGTCGGCATCGAGCCCGACGTCGAAACGGTGACTGGGACGGCACCTCATGGAGGTTTCCCTTCGGCCCCGCTCATGACCGGAGTCAGATTCGGGGTGAGGGGGAAAAGATGATTCCTAACAAAAATGTTAGATCCCAAATCAGGAGAATAGATCCACGTTCAAAAAGAAGAAAGATTTATTTCCAAAGCATGGTTGATCACGAACATACAGAGATTGTTAGGAATAACTACAATACCCAGGGAAGGTGTATTAAAAGGAACTTCAAACCAGGTTTAAACCAATGAGCACATTTCCCTCTTTAGGTTCACAGATTAAAACAGGCGCGAAGCAGTGTGAGAACAGCAACGGTCTATTTCATAAACACAGGTTTAGTTCACATGGGAAATCTAGACAAGCCAGAGCACTAAGACATAACACCCCATCTCACCAGCTGGAGACCTTGGCAGTTACAGAGGCACTACATAACAGGATAAGGCTTCGGGGTTAGGGAAGGGGGATGGGACGTGTCCCAAGGAAATGGCAGCTCGCTGACAATAAGCTATTGTCACGTCCAGGGGTCATTTCCTGCAAGAGCGCACAGGAGCGGAGCTCCGGCAGTAAAGAGCCCAGGGGGCGGGCACATGCAACAAGCCCCGCCCCCTGCTCCTTCTCTCCCTCTTTCCTGCCTTCTTTCCTTCTATTGCTTTCCTTTTTCTTTCTTTTCATCCTTTTTTCCATCTTTCTTTTCCTCCTTCTTTCCTTCTCTCTCTCTCTCTCTTTCT